AAATTTAATGGCGCGATTTAAATTCGGCTAGAAAATGGCTAATGCCGAAATGTTACCTGGCATATCTGAAAGCTACGAGAGACTCACTGCCAAAATCTTCATATCTAAAATATTCAAAACCCTCACCTTAAATAGAGGTAAATTATTTGCATCCTGGTGCAGGCTAAAGAAGAGCAAAAATCATAGTAAAAATATAAATCATAAAAATGGATAATTAACACCAAATATTTTATAAGTTTTTACCTGAAACTTTACCTGGAACAAAAGCAACTAAACTTCACTTGCTACATCATCGTTCTTTTTTTTTTCTTTTTTTTCTTCTTTTTTTTTGCCCATGTGTGACGTGAATAAGAACCAGAATTTCTTAGAACGTTCTTCACAATGGCCTGCTTTCTTTTAGGCAGATAGCTTTCGTGTGTTTTACTACTACAAATAACCTAGCCTAATTTGACTATTTTTAATAATTCTTCCGTGAACTACTAGCAGCTAGATAAAATTTTCATTTTATTTTCAGGTCCTTTCGGTTATTTTTGGTTCATTTAAAGATTTTTGCAGAGGGGATGGTTGACATGGAGGGACACATATTGAGAGAGGATAATTTGGTTTATGCGATTAATAGCAAATCCTCGATGAATATCAACCTAAGGGTAAACATGCCTTCGTGGAGGTCTGTCTAAGGAAAACTAGCTCGTATACATGTTATACATAGCGAAAACCCATGCAGCCAACCCGTTTGCGGGTTTGGACCTCGGACCGAAATACCAGTGTTCCGCGATTTTACCGCTCGGTAACTGGTGGGCGTATTGAAAAAGGAAGGAAATAAGAGACGCATATTTGTAATATAAAGATTACACATTTTAAAAAGAATTAGCATATGATATGTATATATATATATTCTTCTTCTGAAAGCTATATATATAAAATCGAAAAATGTAATCATTTATCCAGAAAATTACTAACCAACATTCATAAAATCCTATATGTAATTTACTATACAGAAGCAGAAATTATTATATTTTTTTTAATCTTTTCCTCACTTGATCGAAGGAAAGAATCCCAGAGCAAAAAATACTGTCAGTAAAGCTGTGAATAATATTTAGGATTTACCAAAATTTCGGTTTTATCAACATGCAGCGGAAACTTATGAAATGCACTTAAGAGCTTTTATTTCCAGAAACGAAAAGTATATTTATTTTAATGCAATGTATCTTTACAGGAAAATACCTATTTGAAGTTATTTATTTCCCGAAGTCTGCATTCGAAGTAACGGGATCTTTTATTATTTATGGTTATATAACGATAAATTATCGTTTCAAATACAAGGCTTGCATTTTATGCTGCTGGTATATAGTAAAAAAATAAAGATAATCACATTTTGAAAATTTCTCTAAAATTTGTTTCGTTTCCTTCGATACTACAGGGGCTTAAAGTGAATCATAAATTTAAAAGTTTCAGAGAAATGTCAATATATTTCTGAAATATATATCATTTACTAAATATCAAATCCTCGTAATACATACAGACTTACACGTATAATTTTTTTTCAGAGTGACACACAGTTTTAATAATAATATTTTTTTATACTTAGATCAATAGTGTGATTTTAGAACTTATTTAGTAAGGTAAAATTCCTGTGTTGAAATTAGATTAAACGAGTTAAGTAATGTAATGTACTTGATACATTCAAACCCATGCTGACATTTTAACGACTTAGTAATTCTAAACATTTTTATGTCACTGAATATTGAAATTGAAAGCTAATTAAATATCAATAAAAATTTCTGTGAATCCATATCATGCAGTAAGCAGGGATTTATAACATTGTAAGTCAGCTTCTGCCTACTGTCACTTCACAAAAACACGCTATTATTTGGCATCAATTAACATTGTAAAATAGTTTCAAAATGCATAAAGTTTTACAAAGCTTCGATTGTAAAATATATTTATCTAATGCGTGTTTAATCAGTAACACATTATTTAAATTATCATATTTATAAAGAAATATTGAAGAAAATTATAAGTAAATAAATTATGTTGGTCATGAATGAGCATTTTAATAGATTCTTTTAATACCAATAGCAAGAACATTCAACTGTTTGCTTTTCTTTTTCAAAAAAGAGTCCAGTGCCTGATATTTTGTAAGAAATAGTAGTTAACGTCCAAGATGTACTTGAGTAGATACACTAAAGTACAACTCTTTTCCAATTTCTAATAACAGATTTACAGATGGACCTTTATTAAGAGTTCGATGCATCTGAAATCCTATGGTCGTCTTAAGCTGTTGAACTAAGCCACAGTACAGTGAATAAGGTAACATCATTCAGAAGTTATTCAGAAGTAGCATTATTCAGAGTGAATTTATGAATTTGCAGATTTTGTTTTCGCAACATCCATGCCATATTGTTTCTTCAAGCTACTTTCAGATTTGCATGAGGGTCAGAGGAAGTGCCGAAAACGGCATTAATCAAAAACTCGGAAGTGTATGCATTTTTAAGACTTCGCTTGGGGTTATGTGGGGCTTCGCTTACTTTCCAGAGAAATATGGATGCCCACTCATTCCATAAGGCCCATTCTTAGAAGTTCTTTGTTCAGCTATGTGCACGACATAACAGTTGTTAGTCACGCGATAGACGAGAACTTTGGCGACTTTTGCTAAGATTTTATGCTTCTAAAAGAAATTTGTTTAAACGTGAATGCATTCAGAGTAACGTCTCTGCCAAAAAATATTGCTGTTTGATATGCAAAACGTAACAGATGTATAAGAATTAATGCACACTATCAAATACGTCAATATTATAAGCGTCTAATTCAGAAGTCAAACAACAAAAATCAGCGTTATCACAAAATTTTCACAATTCCTGCTATTCAGTTCACTTTTGGACTTGAGACTTGCAATTCTCTTCCGTTTCTCGATATTCTGGTCACACGTAACACATCCAACTTCAGTACTACAGTTTACCGTAAACCTTCATCGGTTTGCCTTCCACCACACTTTAAATCATGTCATCCGACTAAACAAAAGTTAGCTTCATTTTATTCCTATGTTTTCCGTGCTCTTCAAGTTTGCTCCTCCAAACTAGCCCTTGATGAAGAACTAAATTATTTAAAAGCAATAGCTATTGACAGGGGCTTTTCACCCAACATTATTAATCAAGCAGTTAAAAAAATTCTCATCTCAACACACTAAAAGCCACACTCTTATTTTAGGAGATTATAAAAATTCTGTTGTCATTCCCTTCTTTCCATCAATTAGCTATAAAGTTGCACATATTTTGCAGAAATTTAACTTTCGGGTTGTTTATTCTCCCATCAATAAAATTCCAACTTCTATACTCAAGGACCCCATTCCGGATATGAATTCCTGGGGTATTTATAGGATTCCTTGCCAGTGTGGTTTAATTTACATTGGCCAAACTAAGAGAGCCTTAAAATTTCGCGTCAAAGAACATGAGGCATATGTTAGAAAAAAGGAAACACAGAAGTCTTCTGTTGCTCAACATTGTTGGTCCGAAAATCACACTTTCAATTTTTCTGCTGCCAAAATTATTCAAAAAACATCTTCCATTGGAGAACTGGATTTTCTAGAGGCATTTCACATTCATAAAAATCTTTCTGTTCTAGTTAACGATCCTAATTCCAATCCAAATTTGCCTTCGGCTTTTAGAGAAATTATGTTTTAGTTCTGGTTTCGCCAACAGATGGCGCCACTTGCTTATTCTTGTCCAGGCTTTCTTATCTTATCTAATCATTATTTCCTATCTTGTTCATTTGCGGTTTTGCAGCTGAAGATGATGGTTCGGTAAAACCATCGAAACTAGTCCTGTGAAAATTTTGTGAATATAACGCTGATTTTTGTTGTTTGACTTCTGAATAGTATTTATTCGGCGTTATTGTCTATTAAGCGCGCCTAGCCTCCTAAACCCACAGTCTTAGGTGTAGGATTAGTGAGATTTCAGAATGCTAAGTTACCTTTATCCCACTGTCATTTAAAGGACATGAAAAATAGCATCTAGAAATCAGTTTGCTTGGTGCGAATATTTTGCCAGCTGGAATATGTAGGGAATGTATTAGCATCTGCTAGCGTGAGTTATGTGTCTCGCCCCCTCCTACTTCCTCTGGACATTTTGATTATTCATCGCATTAGTGGGCGTGGTTTGTTTCATCTCTTTGTGGTTGCAAAATTCGTTTTCAGTTTACTACTTTGGACAATCGGATGAGCATTTTGTTTGTGAAAGTACTCTCTCCTTATCATCCTGGTGGTTAATGAAAGCTTTATTGTTATTAAGTGAGTTTTAGCGCATTGTTTTTTAACTGTCCTAAATAGGACAATGGGACGATAAGTATGCAATTGACGCGTTCTTTCCCTGTTTATAAATAAGTGTAAAAAAACAAATTCTAGTATTTCACCCCTGCTGAGTATGTCAGTGTAAAGATTTCTGAAGTTAGAGGAAGCATTAAAACTATTCAATAGTTTAGATTCAGATGAGAGCGAAGTTGAAAATGCTGTGTTACCACCAGATGCCAGTGAATTCTGACGAAAATGAAGGGGATGAGAATGAAGTAAATACTGGTGAGATTATTGCAACCGATGTTCCTGTGTCTCTGTAGGTTATAACTGAAGATAATGTCCAGCCTGAACCATCCACAAGCTCTAGTGTTTTCACAACAAAGAGTACAAAAAAAACTAAAAGACACCAGTCATCTTGGATAAAGAATAAATCATCACAATATACAAAACGGAAAACACAGAATGAATCAATTGCAAGTGACTTGTTCAAGCAGATGGAAACTGCATTGAAAGATAAAACTCCATCAGAGCTTTGAGCAGTTTTATTCCAGTGAAGTCTACGATTTCATTGTAAAAGAAACTGTACGATATGCAACAGATGTAAAAAGCGAACACGATTTTTTAACCACTGCCAACGAAATAGGTGTTTTTATCGGAATTTTGTTTCTAACTGGTTATCATTCAAATATCTGTGAACGTGACTACTGGTCAGATGCTGGTCAGATTCGATAAAGAATCTGATGCGAGAAATGATACTCCTCTTGGTACTCGGTTTGTGATGAAACTAGCACAGAATATTATGAATCCTTCAAGCTACACTTTATATTTTGATAACTTTTTTACTAGCATTTATCTTTTGAAAAGTCTTGGTGAACAGGGTTTTCGAGCAACAGTAACCATACGAGAAAATCGGATAAACCACGAGTTTCCTTTAGAAGAATCTATGTCTATGCGGAAGAAAAAAAGAGGCACGTCTGATTTTGCATTTGACGAGAAATCTGAGATTTTCCTGGTGCGATGGAATGATAATAGTACTGTCAAGGTTGCTACAAATTTCAGCACTTTTGAACCATTCTTTGATCTGAAGAGGCGAGTGAGAGGACAGAAAGATAAAGTTAACGTAAAGATGGCAAATTTGATTAATTCTTACAATAAACATATGGGCGGTGTGGATAACCACGACTGGTTGGCTGGACGTTATTCCATTAAAATTCGTGGGAAAAGTGGTACTGGCCACGCTTTATACGTTCGCTGGATATGGCTATGGTAAACGCCTGGATAATTCACAAAACTCTAAACAAAAATGAAGCTCTAAACTTGAAGGAGTTTCGAAGAGCTGTAACAACAGTTTATCTAAAAGAAACTGTGATATAAACAAAAGGTAGACCTAAGATCTGGACTGTACCTTCTGATGCAAAAGAAGACATCCGTAAAGATAGTGTTGGTCATTTTTTACTAAAGCGAGAAAAACAGCGTCGTTGTCAAAGAGAGGGCTGCAAAAGAAAACCAAAAACATACTGTGGCAAATGGGAAAAAACATTTTGTCAGGCTTGCTTTGGACCTTTCCACCAACATTAGAGTGAAATTCATCTGAAAAGTGCACTATCTTGTAAATAACGAAGTATTAGTCGAATAAAGTAAAATTTGTACACGGAAATCACTTTTCTTCAATGAAGAATTTCGTCATTATCCCCTTTATCCCAGTGTCCTATTTAGAGGACAGGCCAGATTTCTGATATGAAATATAAAAAATTTTCTAATTTTGTTATATTTAGTTTGTTTAGGTTTCATTAACCTTAGAAAATATCATTCTTTTCAAATTTGAACAAAATAAATAAATTGGGATAAAATGGGTTAAAAGAAGAAAGAAAGTTGAATTGCTCATCGACGGCGAATAAGGCTTTCGAGAAACTCAAAGTTGTAATAATTCTTTTTGCAATCTTGATCTGACACAGAAAAAATATTGGAAGTAACTACAAACACGTTCGATGTTGCGGCAGGAACTATGCTTGTGACGATTGTAAGCCAGTACCGTGTGTTAGAAAATAATCATAACTCAATTGACAAATTACACTGCTGCCGAGAGAGAAAAACTACGGGTCCTACTTAGTGTTCAAATATTCAGGGTGAATTTCAGCAAAACGCAGTTGATAATACTGACCATGACACAATCACTCGCCTGTATTTGGGAAAGAATGTATCATTAAGATTGATAAGGTATGCTCTCAAATACCCTTTAAGCTTGAATAATTAAAGGTTAAGAACCTAAGCATTTATGCATATTTAAAATATTCTAATAATCTTGAGCACCTTAGTATTACTAATATTAATAACAGAGCCTTAAACTACGAAATTATTGGTACCTCTCGTTTTATATGAAGGGTACAAATCAAAATACGGTAGGGCGACCTATTATCTCAGAGCTTTTAGAATTCAGTACATTGAATATGTGACATGATCAGCCACTATCATGCCAATCTAGGCGTGAGGAAAGCAGTGCAGAGGTGTACGGAAACAGTTGATTTCCCACAACTGCAAAAATTTGGCATGGAGTTGTCAAGTTCTGGGGTAGTTCCAAAATGTCAATTTCTGTTCTTGCCAGTTAATTCGATATATTAATTATAACTCGGGTGAGTATTTAAAAAACCAGTTTCCTTAATAAAAATGTTAGAACGTATTCACCAGGATCATATTCCAAAATTTAAAATGTGCCCTGTAAAATATAATTTAAGAGTTACACATGGTTGTGGTTACAATCCTGAGTTTTTCCAATTTAAAAAGGTCATAAAAAGCCAAACATTTTAGACTTGTGTAAATAACAGTAACTTATTTTACATGTTTATGTATTATATATATGAAATTGGAAATTGAATGAATGCAATGAAAGATGATGTGTTGGAAATGAAACAGATTATTAATGTAGTGCGTTTAAATGAAACTGTATTTGGAACTTAAAACGTGTAATAGAATTTAGTATTACTTGAAGTGAAAAGTTATTAGGAAGCTAAACATTCCAGAAATATTTTGATTCGATATGAAGTTGAATTAAAATATAAACCTAAGTTTAGGTTTTGAAGTGGAGCATCTAAGAGGTTTAGTCTGTCAAACCTGTTAACCATGTAAGATCTGTCGTAGGAAGAGAAATTGTCTTAAAATAGAAAAGCCGCTACTTTGTTCATTCGTCATAAATATAGAAATCGATAGGATTTAAGGTGTGAAATGCTATATGCCTTACATGTTCAATTGTATTTGAATTTTGTATCAGGAATCTGGAAGGAAAATAGCTAGACATTAGGCCTCTTACTCTATAAAATGCAGTTTTCATTTAAATATAAGTTAGAACTAGGTGAACTGGGTAGTGAAAATTTACAAATTTGGTATTTTAAAACTGCACTTTTAAGAGTTTTTATCATCGATAAAGACACAGCGAAAGTAATATAAGGACTGTATGATAAATGCAAGATGAATGCTGTTGAGTTAACTGACTTCATTCTAAGGCACGTGAAGTTAGTAAAATTGTCGGTGGAAATATTTTTGCGACAATACTGCTCAGGTTTCTGCCATATATCAAAGCTTTTGCAGAGTTGAGAAATCTTGGCATGTTAGAACATTTTTTGAGTTAGCTGTGAAATTTGAAAGTTAGCGAGTTTGCGTAGGTGAGTACGATAAAAGACTTAGTGGAAACTAAAAAAAAAAAATGAATGTATGCAGCCAAAGATGTGACAAACTGCACAGGAGAAAACGTTTTGATGCCCCACAGATCTTTTGCCTTCTAATGGCGACACCAAGATAAATCTCAAAACAGCTTCAATATAAGCAAATGTGGTTGTTGGTAGATAGCTATCTTTAAGCTATGTAGGGGTACTGAGGGTTAGATGAGTTAGTTACCGCGGATGATAGAAAGAGTCTCTCAGACTCAATTAAATACGATATTAAAAGATCGCACTTCCGAATATTGAAACAGCCTCGAAGGGAATTCCGTCAGTCCGTTGCTAGATACAAGAACCGAGAGTAGGTTGTGGCGTAACTGTTTCTCAGAATTTAAAAAAATAAAAAATCTGTTTTTTGATGTTATAGAAACTAAGGAGATAACCTAATGCAGGAACTAAGGTGATGTTACAGGAACTAAGGCGTAGGACTATGAATCTGCAAATTAGGTGAGAGAAACATAAAGTGAGCTTTTTCCTTTTCTTAATAGTTACAATTTTTAACTATTTAAAATGCTGATGCTAGCGTTGATTTTTAGGAAGACTTGGCAGAATTGTACATGAGAAAGTGGAAAGAAAAATAGCCTTAGACTATCGCCTCCAAATTGAAACGATCTGCCACCAGAAGAAAAAGGTGGAGCAGTTGAACGAAAGTTTTCATATTTATTTGAAGGTATCTCAGGGTTAACATATGTGGTGAGTAACGTACCTGAAACAGATAATAACCCTTATGTAGGAAAAGACCCTACTGCTAAAATAAAGAAGAGATCATAGTTGTAAAACCAATAAGACTACCTTACAAGTAGTCCCTGAAGTACTAAGCAGAAAAAAAAGAAATCTTCCTTCCACCGATTTAAAGTCGTAATGATTCGTTTTCAGCTACAGAAAATTATATTACGTAACAAAATATCCGGTTTATCCCTTACCAATAACTGAAGAGATAATTAGGAAAACTAAATCAACAAAATACATGTATACGCTGTTTGTCAGGTTAGGTTCTTTCCCCTCGGAATCATATCCATGAAAATTGTTGCCAATTCGTTTTTATATAATCTTTTAATAACATATAGAACCGCAGTAAAAGTAATATCCTCAACGGGATGCAATTTGTTGTTTCAGAGAAAAAATTCACTGATCAAAATAATCTTCGATTATGTAAGAAATAACCACCGACGCCGGAATAGCTTTGTTAATGAGCTCGTCTAAGCACTAAAATGAGCTAAACACGATTTGATTGGTAAAATGCCTGTTGAATTATTCTTTGGAAGGAAGTTTGTTATGCAAACAAACTGCCAAACTGGTTTTTGTTAAAAGGAAGTCAGGAGAATTTAAGATGGCAGCTTTTGTGCAATGGTGGATGAGGGAAACTATAAATTAGACATGTCTTGTAAAGAGCGAACATTTTACTACAGATCCTAAGTTGTGTGGTCGATTTTAAGGTGGGAGATAAGGTTTAAAATTAAGCATTCACTTTGCGATTGACCAGAAGGACAAGTGAGTAAATTCAGCAATAAATTCGAAGGACCGCTTTGATTGAAAGAATAAAGGAAACCGTATTGTAGTTAAAAGCAAAGAATTTGGAATCTGTAAGAGCGAACGTGAATAAGGTGAAAAATGCATTATTTTTTGAATGGGCTGATATGTTGCTCGTAAAGGCTGTATTAGGAGGAATTCCTGACATGAACAGTGCAGGCCTATCGGAAAGGTCGGCTGATTCAACAGCAACTCTGCATCGCAAGTAGGTTCACAGAGCTAAATAAATAATTCTGGGAAAGGTACAGAAAAGATAAAAGGTTTATATTGGATATACCATCGAAAGAAAAAGTTACAGAGGAGGCTGGTAAGCATTAAGAAAAGAACAAGAAATGCAGCAAAGTTTTAAGGCAAATGTCCTGTATCTCTGAGTGTCTTAAGGGTGCACAAAATATAATATTTAGCAAATGATTAAAAATTCATCCCTCCTTTATTAATATTGGTAATTCCAAGGTTCATGCGGTACTAATTTAAAAAAAAATTTGTCTGAAGGTAGTTTAAGGGGGCTCATACACCTTAAACCCCTTATGATTTTCGAATATGTGACTGTTACAAGAATTTTGATATTTCATTTATTTTAAAAGCAATTACATCGAACTTTTTACAGCTGACTACGTAATGTTAAATTGCTTAAGTTCACGCCGGGAAATAATGTTATGAATCCTGGTCACGGCACCAGTGTTAAGTTTCGACACCTAGGTTAAATAGCTTTACTTCAAGGTACCATGTTATATCTGAAATTCCTATATGTTAAATGTTAAATATGAAACTACTTGCCGTGAAAAGGTTTCTACTTCCTCTTAGGGAGGAAAACTAAACTCTTAAGAATTTGCCAACTAACAAAATTTTAGTGATCGTATAGTGAAACGTGTACAGCATTTTTGCGTTGTGAAAAAAATGCATCCCGGGACCGCGCCGTGAGAGGATCGAAAACATAATAAAAACATATACAAGAAATATAGGAAAAAACATATTAAATATATAAAGAAAACATACTGTAAGAGGTTCCAGATTAAATATCAGTTTATTC